TATTCTCTATATGCAAACAACGTATCTTGATCAAATAAAATTTACGATAAAAAAACGTTTAATTTCTTAATTTTAATTGAAGATAATTTAGTCATTCAACTATATAATAACAAATAGACTGTGTATGTATTAGAACATCAAATCACGAAGATGTCATTCACAACTTCATTTGTTTGAAATACATAATCATTTTTTAGCATAATTGTCATATAATTAACTAAGTGTATGCTTGCGTACGACAGACTTTCTCTTCCCACATCCTTGGAAAACAGGTAACCTTATTGACTTGTTATATGGCTAAGTATCTCTCTCATTATCTGACATCGTTATATCACGTGATTAGTATTTCTCTCGTCACGTCATGAGTCTCATGACACGTAAATGGTATTCAAATAGAGCCAGGACTTAGTGGGATGATGATAGCAGGTTTGTCTCTTTCCTTTGGAGATGGAAGGATGAAGAAGGAAAAAGAGAAAGGAAGGGCAAAAGGGTTAAAGGCAGAAGGATGTTTGTCTCTTTCCTTTGGAGATGGAAGGATGAAGAAGGAAAAAGAGAAAGGAAAGGCAAACGGGTTAAAGGCAGAAGGGATCCAAAAACAGTTCCTAATTGTTGACCTAGCACTTACTCGAATGCTTGCAAGGGGCAGTGGGCTACAACAATAAGTGAAAGTCCCACCCCAACTAGAAGTTTGATGGTGAAAGCTTCGTCGACAACGACCACTTGAGTCCCGACTCCAGCACTACAAAGATGATATGATGCACCTGCTTTTCTTTCGGAAGAGGATCCTCTCCGGATCCATTTTGTGAGGATTTAGGGTATTTCTACATCTTAACCGTTCATTGTATATCGTATGATCAGTTTTCGTTACATACTATTTGTATTTAATTTTAAATAATAAAAAGTCAAATGATTTATGATCTCACAATACATGATGAATGGTTAAGATGTGGGATAAAGTAGATCCAGATGGAATCCAATTCCTTTTCTCCTTTTTATCTTCTTATTTTTTTCCTCTTTTTTGATATTAGTTTTTCCTACTTTACATGCAATAATCAAGGTATATAAAAGGACAAACTTGCTACCTCATTACTTAATTATTGGGATGAGTACATTTATCTGGACATTGTTCGGCTGCTTATATACAGAGTCATTTCTTTTTATTTGAGGTAAGTATGGCTTACTTTCGTCTAGTTTGACTGGTGTGTCTCAAAATCAAGCAGTTTATATAGTTATACTCAACAAACACAATTGATATAATCAACATATATATTATTAATGGATTCTTAAATACAATAAAATGAATTTAATCATACATGTTCTAACTTGCTGGTAGATGAATTTAAATTTGAGTACGTAAGTGGGCTTGGTTGCTCTAATGAGCTGCTAAACGATACCATCAACTCTTTGAATTCATCAACATGTTTTTTGCAGCGTACCTTTAATCCATCCCGCGAGAGTCTTTTTCACACAGAAATTCAAGATCATATGGTTGGTTTTCATCTCTATTCGACGTAGTTCACACAGTTGAGTAGTTTATAAAGTTATACTCAACAAACCAACTTTTTTCCTTTTGCAAAGCAACGACAACCCAACTTGATTAACGCTTCAAAAATATACTAATTTGTCGATAATTGGACTTATGGTTTACATAGTCAGATAGTTTATATAGTTACACTTAACGATAAACCAACTTGCATAACTCACATTTATTAAAATAATTTGCCTAACTCGCATTCACATTTGACTTTCGAATCCGAGACGCATGATGGAAATCCAACATCCTCTCCATTATAATATTGAATTACATGCTTTAATTACACTCTAATAAGTCAATAATTGAATTTTAAATTTAAGCACAATAGTGGACACATTGTGTTGATAATGTGTTAAATGATTGCGGTAGGTTTTGAAAGTCATCATCATGTTTTATGCAACATGCATTTGTGAGTCCTACTGAGTAAGGAATCTCGAATATGGTTTGTTATCATCTTTGTTCGACTTGTCAAACAACGTATACAGTTACACTTAATAATCAATAACCCAAATTTGTATGAACAACTTGTCAATTTCATTTTCACATTTGCATTATTAATGAATTTAAGTACCAAAATAAAAATGTGTTAATTAACAAATCTAATTACACCTAATTTGTCAATAACTGCATTTAAATTTGATTGCGATGGTGGGTACATTGTTACAGTGATATGCTAAATGAATGCATCAACTCTTGAGAGTCTTCATTCTATTTTTTGCGACGTACACTTGAGAGCCATTCCACAAGATAATCTCATATATGATTGGTTTTCTTTTCTTGTCAACATTATTCACACAAACAGTTTATATAGTTACCTTATTGACAAAACCAACTTGCATTTACATATGCTTATTATTAATGAATTATTAAATACAAAAAAGTTGAATTAATTAACAATTTTATTTACACTCTAATTTGTAAATCGTTGAATTTAAATTTAAGTGTGAAAACATGCACATTGCGTTGATGATATGGTAAATGATTGTGTCAGCTCTTAGGAATCGTCATTATGTTTTCTGCGGTAGACACTTGAGAGCCCTTCTACAAGGGAATGTCGCATATTGTTAACGTTTGTCTCTGTTCGACATGGATCACACACTGTTTATACAGTTATGCTCAACGACAAACCAACTTACTGAAACCACATTTGCTTGAACAACACTTCTACAAAGGGAGATATCAATGGCGCTATAAAACCGACAAAAAATACCACTTACTATCGGATTTTTGGTAAAAATCCGACATTAAATCGTGCAATGTCGCATAGTGGAACCGACACCAATACTACCGTCACAAAAGAGTATTGGCGTCGCTTATCCCCCTTAATCCGTCACCAAGAAGGAAAGTATTATAAAATAAAAAAGAACAACAGCGTCGCTTAAAAGCGACATCGAAGATTGCGTCGCCTACAAGCAACATTAAGTACCAGACTGGTGTCGATCCTAACCGACACCACCTGATAATTGGATAAATAAAATAACCACTATAATGTCGCCTATAAGTGACACCACCTAATAATTGGTTTTTTTTTTTTTTTTTTTTTGCCTCTTTCCAGAACTCTTTCTTTTTCATGGTCTTCTTCACCCTCTCTGTATCCTCACCTTCTTCTCATAGGCCCTTAACCTGCTGCAAGATTTCATGCTTCTAAAGCGGATTTAATCCAAAACTCATCGGATGTTCTGATACCATGGGAGTTCAATAACAGGTGTTGCTGGAACAATTCTGGGGAATCAACGAAAGTTATGCATAGGTTAGCACCTCCAAATTTAGGTAAATTCAAACATGCAGAGCATGAAATGTTTAATGAGAACCCATTCGAGCTCAGGGGACCCTCAACATTACCGAGTTCCTCGCCAGAGCTCCACATCAGAACCTGGGGTGAAGAACAAACCACAAAGGTTAAAGACCCAGATTTCGAATCCATATTTAATCTGAGATGCAAGAAGACATCATATGAGAAATTCCATAATTTGGGACAGGTTTGATTTAGAACTCGTCGGAGTTCTGCCAGAGGAAATTGCCAGATGCTAGAATTGAAGAACAGAAAATTACTGGCATTTTAGACCTTGGATTCCAAGTCGATTCGAACATGCATGGCTTGAAAACATTACCAGAGATTGAATAGGAGGGTTGATGGGTTGAATTAAGGACTAGAACATCAAGTTCCATCCCCACTCGCTAAAAACCATGGTGTTCTCTATGCTACACCATCCTAACTCCAAACCCAACATACAAGACCACCATTCGGTTTCCCAAGTCAGGGTGATGAAGGATTTCATAAAATTAAAGTGCTAATTTAGTTGGATTTAAGTCCTACCCATCCCTAATCCCTACTTTTCTTCACCCAACAAAAAACGCCCATAAACCCAGAAATTGCATGAAGTACTGCACTGGCGACTTGTCCACTGAAAATAAATCTGAGAGAAGAAGCCAAAATAAATATCAAAATCTGAAGAATTTGTACACAGAATTTGTAATCGGTTTGGCTCTATTGAATTTGAAACCGCGATTGTTGTTGTTGCTGTTGTGGCTGCGAAGAAAGAGTAAAGAATGAGCTGCTGCTGCTATGGCTGCGAAGAAGGAGCAAAGAAGGAGCTGCTTTGCTGTAGGGACTGTGATCTCTTCCTTTATATTTAGAATTTTGTGCGGGAGTCTACTAGAGTGTTGTGAAAATTTCAAATTTGACAATGTTTGAAATTTTGTAAAGTTTAGTGACCCGCCATTTTAATTTTTTTTTTCCAAAACTTGATGTCGGTTATAAGCGACATTAGTATTAAAAATATTAAAATAGTTTTTTTAATGCGACACTAGTATTAAAAATATTAAAATTAATGTCGATTATAAGCGACATTAGTATTAAAAATATTTAAATAGTTTTTTTAATGCGACACTAGTATTAAAAATATTAAAATTAATGTCGGTTCTAAGCGACATTAGTATTAAAAATATTAAAATAGTTTTTTTAATGTGACACTAGTATTAAAATTATTAAAATTAATGTCGGTTATAAGCGACATTAACAGTTTATGTCAGTTACAACCGACAGTAACTCCGACACCATATTAAGTGGATGTCGGAATGTCTTATTTCCCCACTATGTTGTATAAAAGCGACATCACCCACCAACACAATAAGGCCCTTTTGTAGCAACTTGTTTAACTAACATATGAATTGCAAGTGACCCTTAACCACAGTGGTGGAGATAAATATTACCTTTTATACTACGGCGTGAGTTCGAATCCTATTAACCCCTAGTCTAACAAATCTACCGTTTGGCCAAAAAAAAAAAAAAAAAAAAAACTAACATGAATCATTAATAAATTATTAAATAAAAACAAAAATAGTGGAAAGCGCATAGGTTGGAATCCCCCTAACCCGAGTTCGAATATTGTATGAGATTTGTGATTTCATCACATGAATACACTACAGTGAAAGGTTTCCCTTGAGACCAATGGGTTAAGAGAGTACGATCTTAGAGAGAGAGAGAGAGAGAGAGAGAGAGAGATTCAAAGTTAGGTGCTTTTGCTTGCTCGTTTTGGCTGCCTGGCTTTGCTTTTTAGTTTCTGCTTTTGCGTTTGCGTTTGAATACGTGAGGTTTCTTAAGATGGGTTTGCTGTGCTCTCGAAATGTGTTGGGTTTTCTTCAAGCGTAGATTTTGGAGTGGAAATTCTTCAGAACCGGTTTCCATGGCTGGGGGCAATGAAGTCAACGTTAATGAATCCAGGGTAACAACTTTTCTTTGGTTTTTGCTGATTCAAAGTTTGAAAGTTTGTTTTTTCTTTGTTTTTTAATGTTGTATGGAGTTATCTTAATGGATTCTCTGGGATATGGTGTTTAGTTTGTGATTTTGTTGTTAAAAAGCTGATTTGTTTTTGTTTTGTTTCTTTCTTTGGGATGAAGACGTTGTTCTTGTTTGAGTTGAGGTTTTTAGCTGTTTTTAATGTTTGACATGGATATGCTTATTGGGTTTGTTTTGCTTGTTCGAGCTCATCATGTTCTGAAGATGTTCTTGTTTGGAGATTTGATTGTTTGATGGATTTAATATTGTGGTTTTGTCATGGGAAAGCTTCCGGTCTAAGAAAATGCTACAGATCATGAACATGTTTTTTTTGTTTTTTTCGGTTTGTTCGGTCGATTCTACAGCTTTATGGGAATGATTTTGTTCGTTTTGATGTTTCTATTCCCCTTGAATCGTAGCAAAACCTTCTTCTTTTTTTTCCAGATGTGATGAAGCCGGTATTATAATACCGGCAGTGGATTTGATGCTTTTTAGTTGCGGTTTTGGATTTTTAGTTGCGGTTATGTTGGAATAAGACATTGACATGTGTAATTTTTTTTCTGGGATCTGATGCTTTTTTAACAGACAGTGGTTCCACTGAATACATGGGTCCTCATCTCCAATTTCAAGCTGTCATACAATCTTCTACGCCGCCCTGACGGGACTTTCAACCGCCACTTGGCGGAGTTCCTTGATCGGAAAGTGCCAGCCAATGCTAAACCCGTTGATGGGGTTGTCTCGTTTGACGTCATCATCGACCGCGAAACTAGCCTGCTAAGTCGAATCTATCATCCAGACAATGCTGATCTATCCCCGCTGAACATTGTTGATCTTAAGAGACCTGTGAACAAGGAGGTTCTTCCTGTCATAGTTTTCTTCCATGGTGGGAGCTTTGTACACTCCTCTTCAAACAGCGGTATATATGATATTTTGTGCCGCCGACTAGTTGGTGTCTGCAAGGCTGTAGTGGTTTCTGTGAACTATCGCCGGGCACCTGAAAATCGTTATCCATGTGCCTATGATGATGGGTGGACAGCCCTGAAGTGGGTGAAATCTAGACCATGGCTTAAAAGTACGAAGGACTCAAAAGTTCATATCTATCTCGCTGGCGATAGCTCTGGTGGGAACATTGTACACAATGTTGCTTTAAGAGCTGTAGAATTTGGAATCAATGTACTGGGAAATATACTGCTCAACCCTATGTTTGGTGGGCAGGAGCGGACTGAATCTGAGATGCGATTGGATGGGAAATACTTTGTCACCATCCAAGACCGGGACTGGTACTGGAGAGCTTTACTCCCTGAGGGAGAAGATAGGGACCATCCAGCATGTAACCCATTTGGTCCCCGGGGTCAAAGCCTCGAAGCTGTCAAGTTCCCGAAGAGCCTTATTGTGGTGGCTGGTTTGGATCTTATTCAGGACTGGCAATTGGCTTATGCTAGAGGGCTCGAGAGGGCTGGCATAAACGTGAAACTCATGTATCTTGAGCATGCCACAATTGGTTTCTACCTGTTGCCGAATAATGAGCACTTCTACACCGTGATGGATGAGATAAGTAAATTCGTGTGCTCCGACTATTAATAGAATTGACTTTTACCATGCGGTGACGTATAACCTAAGGTTGATATTCCCTGAATAATGAAGGGTTTGTTTGCAGTTTGTAAGATTGTGCAGCTAGCTATAGTAATTACTGTTGTATTGATAAATGTGGTACTAAGATCCTCCTTTCACCTGGTTCTTGTCTGCGGAGGGCTAGCTTTGGTTGTTAGATGCAAACGAGTGTATGATTCTGTATCTAGCTAGATCATCGTATTTTGTTAGTTGGTTCGATAAAGCTTTTGCAGACCCCACTCAGCGGGATAAGGCTTTACTGTTGTTGTTGTTCAATAAAGCTTTTGCAGACAACAGAATCTATCCACGGTCGAGTTGTTCTTGTAATGTTTATATATATATATATATGTGTGTGTGTGTGTGTGTGTGTGTGTGTGTGTGTGTGTGTGTGTTCTAATGTTGTGTAAGATGTTTGTGTATTGGCAGTTGCCAATGTTTGCTATGCTCTACGTGTGTTAAGAAATGTTAAAATCAGTGGATGTTTTGTTGAAATCTCTGCTCAAATTTTCAATGGATTTGAAACTCCTCGGTCTCTAATCTGCTACATTCTTTTGGTAATTAATCTGTGAATGGTACTTCTTTTTCCGCTTAACTTTTGGAAAAGAAGGAGAACTACCTTGTTTCCTGAAGAAGTTGAATGACTTACATCATCCACACAAGCTGCTAAGCATGTGAAGAACGGTATATATGGTAGGAGAGATTCAGCCTTATCATGGGAATATATTTCTATTTCAACGTATGATTTGAGAAATTCTCTTGTCACTAATCACCACGTAGCAAGCTTTCACTGAATTGGTGGTTCACTTTTCCAACAACATGATAAACATTTATTAAATACGTGATTCACTTTTTGAATACGTGACAAGCGTTTATTGGACGGTAATGAGATTGAGATTGTGCATTTGCAAAAAAAAAATCGCTCGTCTCATTCCCTACGTATATCTATAGCCATAGCCAAGATTTTTCCATCTGTGCAAAAGAGATTCTGCTTTTTCACTAGCCATCCTCATCTTTTATGTCTCAATTATGACATATATCTTTTGCAGTACCCAATATCATCTCACTGATCATGTATAGGCAAAATTTTTCCTTATGAGTAGAGCGAATGATTGATTACATTTTCGAACAAGTGACCAAAAGGTTTCACAAAAGGGAGAAAGGAAAAAGAGGGCAATTGGCTAGGGGACAAAGTTTACCAGCACCAAAGTACAATATAATTGGTCGCATCCAAGCATCTCTGTGCATATTCGTTTCAAGAGGGTGAAAAAAAAAAAAAAAAAGGAAGTGGGTTACTTTTGTCCTATTGGGATTCTCTCTGCATCTCTCACTTCAGAGTTCACAAATCAGGTAATTCGGAGTTTTTAAGAGAAAGAGATATTTGAGCGTTGGAGTCTTGGAGAGAGAGAGATTGTGTGAAATCACTACAAAAAATATGGACAACACGCACAATAAAATTATTTGTGCCCTTTGAGGCCAAAGGGCACCAACATATGTGTCCATAGACCAATAACAACAGTGCAGTGTGTGCCCTCTAAGAACGTTACCTTTAACCATTGGGAACCATATAGTCTTTTTGTGCTCAAAGAGGTAAGCACAAATAAGGGTCTTTTTGCTCTAAGAACGTTACCTTTAACCATTGGGAACCATAGTCTTTTGTGCTCAAAGAGGTAAACACAAATAAGGGTCTTTTTGTGCCTCTTTTCCAAGTCATGTTAGCACAATTTTGTTATTGTGCCTAATAGGTTAAATATATTAAAAAATAAATTCAAATATTACAAATAAAATCAAATAGTAATACCATATGTAAGATCCCACATCGTCCACGAGTGTGGATCCTATAAGCCTTATATGTATATTCTCATCTCTACCTAGCACGAGGCCTTTTGGGAGCTCACTAGTTCCATCGGAACTCCAAACTTAAATGAGTTCGCGCGAGAGCAATCCCAGGATAGGTGACCCACTGGGAAGTTCTTGTCTGAGTTCCCAGAAACAATCGTGCCACGGTAGAGTCGAGTCCGGGATGTGGTGGGGGCCCGGGCCAGGATGTGACACCATCAATAAAAAAATTATTCATACAGATAATGAAAACAATTCCTAATACATTTTTTCTTCCATGAAAAACTCAACTAAACCTAAGAATCTAACAATGTAACAAATACCATTACTCTTTGAGTTCCTCGCAAGCCAAACAACCCTTAACCACCGCAAACAACCTTCAGCCCCTGATCTAGCCTTTGAAAATAAACATGAGTAAGAAATATATCGAGCAGTAAAAGCAGTGATGATGCATTGCTACCAAGGTATAAAAAATCGATAATATCAGCGATATTATCGTTTTTTTGGGAGTCTGATATTTCTACACATATCCAATAGGTTTTCGTCCAAATATCGAGATAATATCGATAATATTGATAATATCGCGATATTAGCGATAATATCGCGATATTAGCGATATTATCGCGACATTGCTTGAAGGTGACGCCGATGGAGTAGATGGCGACGGCATGAGGGCCTTGAGCATCTGGATGAAGGAGACGGAGAGGAAGATGTAGGCGGAGTTGGAGAGCCAGAGGGAGAGGGAGTAGAGAGCGCCGATGGGGACGACGGAGGAGAGGTAGAGGTCGCGGGACATGGTGACGGCCTAGCTCGACGAGGAGGAAGGCGAGGGAGGAGCAGAGGGAAAGGAAGTAGAGGGCGCCGATGAGGATGACCGATTTGAGGTAGAGGTCACGGCACGGGAGATGGAGACGACGCCAACGAGGCGGAAGACGCAGACAAGAAGGATCGAGAGATGATGTCTGTGTGTGTGTGTGGGATAACTGGATAAGGGAGAAGGGAAGGGCGAAGACTCAGAAGAGAGAAGGAAGAGAGAAGATTCATAACTCAGAAGAGAGAAGGAAGGATCGAGAGACTGAGCTCAGTCTCTGTGTACGTGTGTGGTGTGGGGGGTCTCGAATCTCGATCTCTGTGTGCGTGTGTGGTGGCGTGTGAGAAAAAAAAGCATCCAATGATCCAAATAATTCAAAACCTGTCTCTAGCTCTCTGATCCAATGATCCAAATAACTTTTTGCAATTTCAGACCATGGACAACAAATAATAGTGCTTTCATAATGAAACCGTGTACCACTGTGAGTCTGTGATATTCTTTCATATGCAAAACAATGTGCCATTGTCTGTTATATTCTTTCACCTTATCAGAGGTGGAGTATTAGAGGCATTCAGAGCATTTTCGTTTCTTCTTCTTCCCTTACCATTTTCAAAGCCATTCCAGATCCATTCCAAAGCTTGAACACAAAGGGTTCCATATTTAAGGTAAGTTTACAAATTTATATTTATATTATTGTAATTTATACAACAACAAATAAATTTGTGTGTGGACTCGTATGTTAATTTTTTTAAGTAATTAATACTTGCATGTTAATTTTTGTAAGTAATTAAGTAATGTTAACAATTACATGTTAATTTTTTTAAGTAATTAAGTAATGTTGTATAATTATTCCCTAGGATAATTTTAATATGTTTAATGTTATTTATTATTTTATTAATATTAGGTTTTATTATCAAATTGGATTATTATTCATTAATATTAGGTTTTTTTATCAAATTGGATTATTATTCATTAAATTGGATTATTATCAAATTGGATTATTCATTAAATTGGATTATTATCAAATTGGATTATTATTCATCACCATGTTTTATATTAGGATTATTTTTTTATCAAATTGGATTATTATTCATTAATATTAGGTTTTATTATTCCATATTATTTGTATAATTACTTAAATTTTTACAATCATTTTCTTTACTTCGTATTTAATTCTTCTGTAGAATAACTTTATTATTTAGGTTCTCTTATTTTATCAAAAAATAATTGTCTAATTTTCATGAAAAATAAATATAGGTACGTTTAAGATGTCCAATGGAGTTACTAAACGTGATTCAGCTTGGGAACATGGAGACCCAATAGACGAAAACAAACATGGCACAATTTGCAAATATTGTGGTCGGGTAATGAAGAGTGGCGGAGTGACACGACTTAAGTACCATCTTAGTGGATTAGATCCAGCAAAAAATGTCCAACGATGCGATAATGTCCCCCCAGAAGTGAAGGCATTCATCAGCACATTATTAAAAAATAAAAAACAGAAGAAGGAAAAGATAACACATGGAATGGAAAATATTCGAGCTAGGCTACAGGGAGAAGTCTATGGCCAAGCGGTTGACAGTGATGATGATGACGATGAGGACGAATGTGATGATTACATTGGACCTGAAGAACGACGCAGTTTGAAACAAGCATTACGTGCCTCCAAACAGTCAGCATGGGAAAGAGAACACCTTCATAAAATTCCTAATAGAGCACAAGGTTCCGGGACAAGTGGTGGTGCACAAATGAGACAGGGAGGCAGTCTTAGAGAATCACAACCAACACCACCAATAGCCCCAAGTTTATATAAGTCATCCAAAACACGTCAAAAGAGTGTTTGGAGTTATTTCACTTGAGGTAATGTGAAGGAGGGAATGTGGCGTCTAATTAGCAAGTTCTTTATCTATGAAAATGTCCCTGCTGAGAAAGCATCATCACATCATTTCAAAAATATGGTAGTGGGATGTCAACAGGCCGGTGTTGGAGTACAACCTCCCACTCCATATGAGATAAGAAACAAATATTTGGATATGGAGTATAAAGACATTGGCGAGTTGTTAAGTTAACAAAGTTGAGGTCAAAGTGGAAACTAATGGAGGTTGCACAATCATGTGTGACGGATGGACCGGCCCGACCAGATTGTCTATTCATAAACTTCATGGTATACTCCAAGGGAAAGACAATTTTTTTTTGAAGTCTGTTGATATACTTCAGACCATATAAAGAACTACAAGTATATTTACAAATTATTGAGGGATGTAATCATGGAGGTGGGAGAGCATAATGTTGTCCAAGTTGTGACCGACAACGGTTCTACATTTGTCAAAGCTGGAAAAAAGTTAATGAAGCATCATAATGTGTTTTGGACATCATGTGCAGCACATTGTATTGATCTCATGTTTAAGGCAATGGGGAAGAGAGAGAATGTTGCTACTGTGGTCAAAAGAGCTAGAACGATCACAAATTATATTTACAATCATGGTTGGTTGTTGGCAAAGATGCGTGAATTTTGCAAAGGAGAAATTATTCGTCCAGCTACCACTCGATTCGCCACCAACTATATTGCATTAGACAGCATACTTAAGAAGAAAGCAGGGTTGAAGCAACTATTCACTAGTGACGATTAGGCCAACCACAATTTGAGCCGCTCAAATGTAGGTCGTATGGTGGAAAGTATAATGTTTGATCATGCTTTTTGGACTCAATCAGAACATGTGTGCCAAGTGTTTGAACGTCTTTACAAAGTTTTACGGATCATTGACACAGAAGTGTATCCTACTATGGGGGCAATATATATGAGTTGATGATGCGTGTAGTGAAGGATGAATTGGAAAGAAAACAT